AGGGTTTCAAGGACCCGCTGCTTATCTATTGCTGCATCCCTTGGATTGCTATCCCGCCCCGCTGCTTGCTGCTTTACTTATGCTGCTGCAAACTAATTATAGCCACTGCGAGCGTTCAAATTTCGCGGCCCGCTGATCCTGCCGCCTGCGAGCGAGCTTGCGAGCCGCGCCGCTAATCCTGCGACCTGATTGGCCCCGCGACCTACCCCATGCGACCTTAGCGCTACACGGGGTATCGACCGCTTATCGAACGAAATCTTCTTGCTCTTGGTTGCGAACAGCTGTGCGAGACACACGCATCTTTTCGGGCTCCCGTACGTACGCGAATCTTCCGTGCCGTTTACGTAGCTTGCTGTACCGTGATTTCAAACTTAAGGCGAAGTGATTCTCGTCGAGAGGGTGACCCCGGCGGATTCAAGGGAAGCCGACGAGTTAATCCGGACGGAGAAGACCGGACATGCCGGAGAGCAACCGACGACGGTGAGGTGCCCGTTTTAGTTCTGTTAGCCACGAATCCGCATTGCACAGGCCTCGTGTCGAGGCTGATCGCTTGTTTTTCGCGTTTGGTTTGTGACGGCAAGGACGTATCCTTGGCCGTATTCACGATTGTTTTTCGACAGCGGCCAGAATCAGGCTTCACGGGGCTTCGTGGCCGTAGTGGTAGATTCGTAGGTTAAGTGCATGTTCCCTTGTAATTTCGCGAACCTAAGTCAAGCCCTGGAGTGGCGATCCGGCGCCAAGTAGCACATTCGCGTTATTTGTGTCCGTCTTTTTCTATTTCTTTTTGTTTTGTTTGTCTAGCGAGCGTATTCGTGTGCGCGTGCAGTGATTATCGAGACGTATCGCTTGCGTACCGTCGGATCTCGGCTACCGACGGCAATCCGCCGCCGCGGTAAGAAATCGTCAGAACGAAATCGGATTTTTCTCGCGTGATCGGCTAGAGTCAGGTGTGTGCGAGTCGGAAACGGTGGTGATCGGTAAGGAATATTGTACCGAATTAACGCGCGGATTAACGACAGTTTCGGATGGTGAATTTTCAGGACAATTATCGCCGAACTATTAGCGAGCGTACGGTGAATGCGTGTCGCCTTTCGAGCGTATAAGTTGTCCGGGATTATTCGTGGTCGAGTAACGTATCGTGTCGCCGATTTTCCTGACGCCAAGATAAAGAGCGTTTCTAATCATTTTGTGATAAACAATCGGGAGAAGCCACTCCGACGTCGCACCTCCTTCGCTCTGTATCGCGAGTATTTTCTTTCGAGTGCATGCGCGTAGATTGAGAAATCGGCTCGATTTAATCTTTTGGGTCTAGCGACACGAAACCGGCGAAAGCTGCGCGGCAGAGTGAGCCAGTCGACCTAATTGCGATCCTCAACGTAACAAGTAAGTCCGGGTTGATCCACGGCTTGTAAAAAGGCGACTGCATGCTATTTTATTGCGGCTTAGTGTTTGCCCTGCACATCTGCTTGCACTCTCTAGCTGTTTAGCCTGCCTCTAGCTTTGCGCCTAGCGATTGCTATACTCTAGTGCCTGCGCTGGTTATCTCTTGGCTGGAATCCTCGAGTACCGTATCGCGCCCAGTACTTTTACGGTATCGTTTCGGTTCATTAATTTGTCTCATTAACTCGCGTGACACGGTTTGTTAATTATTGTAAGTCGTCGTGGACTCCGTGTCTTCTTTTTGTTGTATTATTTTCGGATGCTACCGCCGTAGCTTAAACATCTCTCTGTTTCATATTTCTTATATTTTTTTTCTTTATTATCATTCCGGTCATCATTGCTTTCATATCATTGGGTAACCAATCTTTTCTTTCTACTATTTCTTAAATTATTTCTTTTATATTATTTTTGCCCCCTTCTACATGCGTAATAAACTGTCAATTAACTATTAATTCGTGCTGATTAATTACAACTCTCTTTCCTTTATTTGAGCTTCCTATCGCGAGGTCAAGGGACAGCCTGTATTCCGAATTTTTGCTAAACCCCGCCCCTCTCCGTTCCCAAAAGAGCTA